TGTCATGGCCTTGGGCCTAATTAATGTCCAATAAGTAGTTATAACTACCGGGTGAAAGCTACGGCTCAGATTAGATGTAGATTAATGAAGTTAGAGGGTAGAGATGCAGCCACGTCATCAGAAGCCAACTCAGCACAAGTCATGCTTTTAACAACCAATTTGGCAGAGAAGAAGGATAACGGAAATTTGGTATTTTCTTCTCTCACTTCTCTTCTTCTTCTCTCAGATCTCTTCTTCTCTATCTTCCTCATCTTTTCTCTTCTAATCCTAAACTCCTTCTATTCTGCAGATTGTGGACTCATCAATGGCTGTTGTAGTGGCTTAGTTTAATTCCTTTTACTTTAGTTTTACTGTCTTTCATTTCCAAGTTGATTAATAGAAAATTGTCCCAGAAATTTCCACTGTTCCATTTACTTTTGCACGTTAACTGTTTGATTTAAGGCCAAGTCATAACAATAAATTAGGGAAAGCTCACACAAGAATTAAGTTGTGTTAAAGGCATACAAAATTGCAATTGGAGTTGCCCACATAATCAAAGATGTAATAAAGAACTTATTAACAACTCCTGCCGTAGTTGCTGTCAACCTGTGAAATAATACTGAAAGAATGAAGTATAATCTGATAGAGGACAGACAAAAGAACCCAATTAGAATGAATCTGAATCATGCAAAAAAGGAAGTTCATAAGGTAAATCCTCTTTTTTTCCCTTCATACATCATTCTCATCATAGACATGGACAGAGTTTATGCAATAAGCATAATACAAATTTCTTTGATTTATCATTCTGTTTTCAAGTTCATTGAAGATTCAATTTGAGCTCAACAAATGAACACTAAGCATATGAGAAATAAATTTCTGAAAATAAGGAGAAGGAATGAACCTCAGTGTCTATGGATTTGAAATTCAAAGCTAATGGACTGATGGAGTTGTGAACGGAAACTTCAGACAATCAGCAAAATTTCGCACAGGAACCGCCACCAGTGCGACCAAACTCGGACCCAAAAAACAAAGGAACTTTTTAAACCTTAATGCCAGTTGAGAAATCATATGGGTTTTGGTTGTTGACGAAAGCTGAGGTTTTATGGTGTATTCACTGTGTTCCAAGCAGTGACGAAACATAAATTTTATGAAGTGGGTCCAAGAATTGCTTACAAAAAGTTGACTAATGGATGTAAAAAATAAAAAAGTTAAACTACATAATATTTAATTTTAATGTGTATATTAAGTTTAATTTAACGTGATCGACAGAAGAAAAAAAAAAGAGAAAGGAGAAAATTTAACTTAAAATTATATTATTTTTATGCTTTGAGCGAGGACAGCAACAACGAGACATGTAAAATAAGGAGTACAATCAAACAAGTTTTTTAAAAAGGAATTCTATATGGAGCATTTTTTGCTTTTAATTGTTTTATAAAAAAATCTGGGGTTGTTTATTAACTTAAATTAAATTTTAAGAAAATTAAGTTTTATTTTAAATTTTAATTTAAAAAAAGAAAAAGTCAAAGTCAAATAAATTAAAATTCTGATTGGCTGCTAAATTTTTAATTTTTTTTCTTAAATTTGTAAGTTGTATCTAATTAAGGATTATTTTATCAAATAATATTAATTTTGAATTATTTCTAACAATAGATTTATTAACTATTATTTAGATTTAGAAAGTAACTAAAAAAGCTCTTTTTAAAATGGCATAAAGGACAATGCTATTGGTGAGAATCAAAACTTGGATCCCCCCACTCCCCCTGCACATTACTTTTTCGGTTCCAAGAATCACTAGGCTACAAATGCTTGATGTTCTTAGGGTGTCCAAAATATAATAAGTAGTCATTTAGGGTATCATTTTATTTATGTATACGGTATAATTTTTCGACGAAGGGTGTCTAACTGACACCACTATAGCTCCACCCCTGATTTCACAGTGACTGTGTGGTGGTGAAGGACGAGAAAGACGGTGGTGTTTTGTGTGCTGAATATGAAATTCAAGCTTCTCAGTTCTCCTCGCGAAAATTCCCTCACTAGTGTCTCTCTCCTTCTCCTCAACAAGAAAAGGAAAATATTGTGGTCCAGGTTTAAACAAAAGCGTTCAAAATCAACCAAAATTGATAACTCGAATTGAAAAAACTTATTAATTTATCGTAATGATTTATCAGCATAGTGATTTTGATAATAATTTTAATTCTTTTATTATCGGGTTATAGTTCTTAATCTTTTGAGGTTTTTTCTTAATGGATTAATCGATAATCGGTAGTAAATTAAATAATTATTAGGGAGCTTTCGCATATAGCCACTTAAAAATAGTTCAATTACGCTTCATAGCTATAATTTGTTAATTATGATTCATAGCTACTTGCTATAGGAAGGAGAGTGGCGAGCGAGAAAGGGCAGAGAGTGGAGAGAGGTGAATTGTATATGTATATAGCTAGATAATTGTATATATGTAACTGGTATACATATGTATTTGTATATCTGGCGAGCAAGATTGGGAGAGGGAAAAGAGAGGAGAGGGAGGAGAGAGGCGAGCGATAGAGGGCAATAATTTGTGTGATTCGCATCTCGTTTGTATAATTCGCGTGGTTTTGTATAATTGAGTAATATAAATTCTGCAATTATACAACTATGATAAAACTTGAAATAACGAATTGATACAAACATAAACATATGACCTTTAAACAATTATACAAATTATATTATATAAATTATATTATACAAAATCTGAGAACTACACGTTTATACAAACTTTAAAAAGTTATACACAAAAAGATTGAATGTATATGGTAATAAAACTGAAAAACCAAAGGAAATCATCGCCATATGCAAATAAAACCATCATATACAAATACAAATCAAACGAAGAATTGTTAGTTGCGAATTATACAAATGTGGTGAATTATACAAACGTGGCTAATTTACAAATTCGAAGTCAGCCCACATAATTAATGGTTTATGTTAGTCACGATTGGTAAATATAGCAAAATAGCATGACTAATTAAGTAGTATAAGTTTGCTTAACCCCGTAATTTTTCCATAATTATATTTATATCATTTGGTAGATAAAGTTCTTAACTTAGAGTTTAACTTCATACTTTTATTTGTGGCTCTCTCAAACTCTTGGTTATTTTACAATGTGAAGTGTTAGCTTTTGAGCCAGATGCAATCTATCAACTCATGTGCATGATTCATTTAGTTTGTCACCTTATTTCTAAGTAATTTTCAATGATTATTTTTGTGTCAAATCTTAACGGTTTAATCAATAACCAAACCTATAACGGTCAATACCTGATAAACCACTAATTGATAAGTCAATATCTTAATGGTATCATAACGGTTTAACATGTCTACAAATTGGTAACTGATAAGTCGAACCGATAAACTTCAAAATCAATCTGAACCAACCAATATGCAGCCCTAGGTTTAGATATAGATAAAATCTCATTGAAGTATAATTAATTAAGTGATATTACAAAAATATACCCCAAAATTTTATATTATAAATCTTTAATTCAAATATAATTCGATATAAAATAAAATACTATCAGTATATGACAATATCTAAAACTTTCATTTTTTTATAAAAAATATTTAAAAACATGATATACAATACTCCCTCTGTCTATTTTTAATTGTCATGTTGTGTTTTTCAAAAGTCAATTTGACTATATATATATATATGCGGACCCACATATTGTTCCCCGGGTGCTCAAGCACCCATTAACCTAGTAGCAGATTATATATATCTCTGTAGAAATTGAGAAGCATTGATATATATCTAACGTAGAGCATCCAGTAAACAAATGATTTATTGGTCCAACGGCTCATAATGGGTGCTTAAGATTGTTGAGTCAATTCCCTAAATGGTCACCCAAGTTCAGGGAATTGCCTTGAAATATCATTTATGTTTCATTTAGGACCAAAATATCACTCAACTATCACTATTTTCCTCCAAATATACTTGACACTTCAAAAGCCTCACTCTCTCCTAATTGGCATGACATGTCATTAAGAATTTTAAAAAAAAATAATAGACTAATTTAATTCATCAAACTCATTTAA